TAAAATAAGAAGCATAGCATGTGCATGGGCATTACCTCTATGTGTTGCTTTTGCACATTGTGCATCACAATTGCACAACAGGTTTTCAGCCATGCATATTGTCCATTGATCCACATACATTGCACTTTTGGGGTTGCATGATGTAACTCCACTGAGGGGTATGCTGAAATGTTGTAAGATCTTGACCTATTTTTTGAGCATCTCAAGACATATCTCTTGTTTATTCTGTGCCATCCTGGGGCAATCTTGCCAACTGCTACAATCGGGAGGGTGTCAGCAGTTCTAGGTGAGCTCAGCATTGCTGTCCCAAGCCTCATTTCTGCCAGCCCCCCTGTCCACTGGAAATACAGAAATACTTTTCAGTGGAATATTGGCTTTGTGGCGAGCTTGTGGTACCTCCTGAATTTGAGGTATGAAGCCACATGATGGGGTGAAGATGAGGACACAAGGTTCCAGTGGCCCCCTGCTAAGCAACTTGTCAGATTCATGTGCTGGGAAAGAGCATCTTGAGAGGAAAGGACAGTGACTGTGTCATGCACTTTTGGTTTCTTCTGATTCCATTTTCCCCTTGGGGAGAGATTGTAGCTGAGCATTCAAGCTCCTGTTTTGCATGCAGAATGTCCCTGGCTCAAGCCTCTTAAAAGGATCTCTGGAAGCAGCGAGACCAAATAGACCTCTTCTGCTTCTTCCAGGGGTCCTTGGCAAAACCAGAAGTGGACATCTGGACACTTCTTGTTTGGGGAGGTGGCATGTTTGATATTTCATGCAACTTTGTAGTGGATCTCACAGATAGAAAAATGTCCCCCAGGGCCACCATAGATTCTGACCTCAACAAGAGGTACTAAGGGGCCAGATTCCCATGTTCAAATACCCACAGCATGATCCACCCCAGTACTACTTCTCTCTGAAGGAGCTGGCTTTAACAATGGATCTTCTTTCCTTGTAGGATAGAGAGCTGCGTCCTGAAGAAATAGAAGGTAAGGTTTCCCCTCCTGTTGTGCATAGGACACTACTTTAAAGTGGGAAAGGGGTTGGACCCATGGAAGGAGGAGGATGCCATATCATCCAACATACCACAATTGAAAACCAAGACATAGTGTGACCAGTCAACATCAGAGGTGAAGAAAGATGGCCAAAGTTATCAGTGAGAAAGAACACACAAGCTAGGAGAAGCTGTTTTTGCCTGAACCTTCTGGGAAGGCCAAGAGTTTGCCCCATTCCTCTCCTTTCCCCCTGCTGTTAGTTGAGTGCACACTGCTTTTGCATTTTGAACTCAGTTTGCAGCAACAGAAGTATGCCAAGGATGAAGGGGGAAAGCAGGAGGATGTCAGAGAAACTGGGACATTTTAAAGCAGCTGAATTAGTGGGAAGGCAGACTGTCCTTATTCTTTTGTCAAAGAGCAGGGGGGTGGCTTAGTTTCAGCACATCAAAGTACCAGAAAGAATGATTGTATCAAAACATTTTCAGAATATTTTAAAATATTCTACGCATGCCATCCACATTATCTCTGCATCAGCACTGTCAGTCCACAGTGCACTCATGTGGTCTGTGGGAGTCCCATGAAGCCTTTGTCCCCACTGGACCTTCATTGACTGTCTGAAACAAGGGGGGGGGGTTCCTCAAAAACTCTCTGAAAACTAGGGGCCCTTTCACACTACACAGTTATAGTGCTTTGATACCACCTTCACTGCCATGGCACCATCATATGAAATCCTGGGATTTTCAGTTTCACAAGACCTTTAGACTTCTCAGCCAGGGTTCTCTAGTACTTCCCCAAACTATAAATCCCATGATTCTATATGTAGCCATGGCAGTCAAAGTGGAATCATGCTGCTATAATTGTGTCATGTGAAAGGAACCTAGGAGTAGGAAAACAGCATTTCAAGTCACTCAAAATGGTGGCCTTAGTAACATGGTGCACTCCTCCACATCTTAGAGGAATCACAAGTGGCCTTCTGAACCTTGGAGCATGCACATAAATGAAGTGTAATGAATGAAGGGATGGAAACATGAAAGCCAAAGGTGGATTGATGGAAAGCGTGCCCCCTTGTGTGCACTCATCTCATTTTTGCAAACTACTCACAAGAGTGAGGGCAGGCACCTCCTTCCTGGCAACATTCGTTGTGGAGCCATCAATAACTTATACAGAGGTTGGATGGCCATCTGTCATAGGAAAGGCTTTGATGGTGTCTTCCTGCATGGCAGAAGGGGGTTAGACTAGATGACCCTTGAGGTCTCTTCCAACTCTAGGATTTTATCAACTCATCTGAAAGTCTGACCTTTTCTTGGATTGGCCCTGCAGAACTGAGAGAAGCCTTCAAGGAGTTCGATAAGGACAGGGATGGCTACATCAATTGCCGGGACCTGGGCAACTGCATGCGTACCATGGGCTACATGCCAACCGAAATGGAGTTGATTGAATTGTCCCAGCAAATCAACATGAACTGTGAGTGCCACCTGCTGCCTGCACTGACCTTGTCTTCTTGCCCTTGTACAGATTCACCTCTTCCTTCTCTCCCTTTCTCCTGCCTTTTTGCATGAGGACAGGTTTCCCAAACCAGCTGCACAACAGGTGTGCATTTCCTGCTGCATACACAGCCTGCACAATGGGGAGGTGTAGCCAATGCATTGGTGGCAGCCTGTTGGCTCAACACAATCCCCAGCACTTACTGCATCCCCCAAAATGTCAAGGGCTTAAACTGGTTAAGACAGAAGGTGGGGGGAATGTGGTCCTTCAGAAGCTGCCAGACTATGACTCCCATCAGCCCCTGCCAGTAGCAAACATCACCAGCTTTCAGGGATCATAGGACTTGTAGTCCAACAACCTGACATGGGGACTGAGGTTAAGGGAGATTCTAGTGCAGCCTCCCCCAGTCCTGGTTCTCTTCCCTTTGCCAGCTCTTCTCTTTGCCTGATTACATTTGTGTTGCTCTGGCCACAAATTCTCTGAGTTTGAACCTAGGAAAAGACAGGTAAAGGACAGGTAATAACTTATTTATTCTGTGCAACTACAGCATTTTCTGCATCCAAGACTCATTTGTCCAGGATTCTTCTCATCAGAGTTTCCTGACGCTCAAAAAGCATGTCTTTCAAACATTTTCAAATATCTTTTCCATCCTTCTATTTTTTTCTTTTTTGCACTTTGGAGTTTAAAAATATCCCCGTGCAAAACAGCTGGGAAGGGAAGGCAATGCATGCTAGCTGGTACAATGGCAAATATGTCTTGATCTGGAAGCTGTTTCCAGGCCCTGATGGGAGCATCCTGACTTCTGCATGGATTCCACTCAGTCCTGGCTGCTTCCAGGGATCAGGTGCTCAGCCTGCCATGTAGTGCTCAGCTGCTGGTCTTACATGCATTTCTCCTCCTGTCTAACTAGTGGGTGGCCATGTCGATTTTGATGACTTTGTGGAGTTGATGGGACCAAAGCTTCTGGCAGAGACAGCTGACATGATTGGGGTCAAGGAGCTACGAGATGCCTTCAGGGAGGTGAGAACCAGACTGTGCAACCTCATTCTGTGGGTTCATTTGTCTCAGGGATTGCCAGCCTTTCCCAACTTGGTGCCCTCAAGATGTGTTAGATTAAAATCCCATCAGTCCTACCCAACATGCCCAATGGCTGTCCTGGCTGGAGATGGAGCAGGTTGCAGTAGCTGACTTCTGAAGGGCACTGCATTAGGAAAGACTGGATTATACACTACTGGAGCCTTGGTCTATGAAGAGCTTGTAGGCATGGATTCTGAATTGAATGTCCAAATTCCCAGGGAGTATATGACCAGAATTCTGTATGGCTCAGCACACAGCATTTAGTATAACCAATACACAATTATACTAATATCAATTAAATGTCTCTTAAAAAAAAACAGCTAAACCCAAATCAGGTGGCATTACAAGCCAACAAATGCAGAAATAAACAGAAAGGTCCTCATCCAGGGCTGTGACTGAGGGGGGAGGAGGGGGAAATTAGGACTGTGTCCCTCCAAATAAAAATTCTGCCTCTCTATATGAAGTTTTCCTTCATTCCCTAAATTTCTGACATTGCAGACAGGAAGGCGTTGGAAATTGTGCACAACATAAACTCTTCTATTCGCTGTGTTAGCACTCTATTGAAACTTTGCCTGCCTATTTACTTTGGATGCTTAAACTCTATTTCTAAATGTTTGGCTGGAGTTTTAAATGTACTGAAATGCCAGAAATGTCCCTTCTCTCTGTCCCACTACCAAGGCAGGTAAGTTTGTTTGGAGCAAGGATGACTGCTCCCAGGCTCTGGAACTCCTGCCCTAGAGAGGCTAGATTGGTGTCAAAAATGGTGTTGCTCTGCTCTGGCAGCTTCCTGTAAGCAAGGGGTTGTCCACTGTGGAAACAGAATAATGGATTAGATAGAACTCTGGCCTGGCTCAGTGTGGCTTTTCTCATGTTATTAAGGAATTCAGTTGTCCATAATTTGTTTTCGGTTGCTTTCTTGCAGTTTGATACCAATGGTGATGGAGAAATCAGCACCAATGAACTACGAGAAGCAATGAAGAAGCTGCTGGGGCAGCAAGTGGGACACCGAGACATAGAAGACATAATACGGGATGTAGACCTGAATGGAGATGGACGTGTGGATTTTGAAGGTGAGGGGGGGGGAGTTGATCCACCAGGACAAAGACATAGGACGTTATCACACGGGGAGTCACGGGGAGAAAGTGGAAATAAACTGGACGAGCGGAAGACTTTAATTTACAGGATTTGTCCTGTTCCGCCTCGTCTGATAACTAAATTCGAATTTAAAAGGGGGTTAATTCGAACAAAAACCTGATCTTTTCATTTCCTCAAAAATCCCAAAAAGATCAAGTTTTCGTTTGAATTAACCCCCTTTTAAATTCGAGTCTTCCGCTTGTCTGGTTTATTTCCATTTTCTCCCCGCAACTCCCCATGTGATAACGTCCATAAGCAAGCGACAGTGGTTTCAAATTTGTTCAAGGAAGGTCACTAAAAGTTATATACAAGGTCACCCAGTAGCTAAGTGGGGATTCTAACCCTGGTCTCTCTGAGTCCTAGTCTAACACACAAGCCACTGTGCCACGCTGGCTCTAAGAATGTGGCAACCCTATCCTAGGGTTTTCTTGGCCAGATTACTTCAGAGGACCAAGACCTGAGTTGTATCAGGTTTGATCACTTTTTCTTTCTCATCTCCAGAGTTTGTCAGGATGATGTCCCGCTGAAGGGAGGGCTTGGGCTGAAATGGGCTCAGCCCCTGAGGATAGTAGAAGAGGGCCTGAAATGGAGTGTCTCGCCCCGATGTTCCTATGCAAAGGTTCGACACCCTGGCTGCGCTCTAGACAGGGTCCCAACGCTGACCTGCCTCTTTGACCCAAGTGGCCCTGCTGCTCCTTCACCTCTCCACACTGTGAAAGACTCATGTCTCCTGAAACTGGAAGGGCTCCTGGGAGAAGCCAAGCATGGAAAAGCTGCGCTCCAGGGCCAGCTGCAGAGTGCTTGCAACTGAAGCCGCTGCTGTTGCCTCCTCCCCTACCTTCCCGGCTTTTATTCTTCCAGCAAAGCAAAGTGAAGGGGGGTGTTCTCTTGAACTGGTGGCTTGCTGTAAAGCCGCCTGGATTGGTGCCTGCCATGGACTGTCCTCTGGCCCCATATTCCTTGGTGAACTGTTGGCCACTGCCTCCTGCCTTGTGTCTCCAGATCTGTAAAGAATTATTTATGCCTCCCCTCCCTTGGAATGTTTTTTGCCTCTCTGTGGTTATGTTCATGAGAGCAAATATAAGTTTGAAAAGAAAAGAAAAGTAAAAAACAAAGAACTGAGCAATGGAATCTGTAAGGGGCTGTAAAAGGGGAGGAGTAGATGGAGACAAGGGGGATGCTGGGATTGAGACCCTTTCAGCATTTTGAGCTGGAACCAGGTGCCTCCCCAGGCCTCCCCAAGACTTTGCTTGGTAGTAACAAGTGACATATTCCACTGCCATAAGATAAGCTTTACTGGTGGTAAATGGGTGCAGAAGGTGGTCTACAACAAAGAGAGCATTCCAGTCCTTCCAGCATCCCCTTGTAGTAAGTGGTAGAATCAGGCTCCTAAACACTGAATTCTTCCCACACCGTTTCAGTTCTCCATGGCTAGTTAATGTGGTTCCTGGGCTGGGATGTAGCTCTCCCCAGAGTGAGCCCTTTGGAAGATGGATCTTCACAGTTTATATAGTGTAGAAGGGAACAAAGGAAATTGAAGCGCACAGGCATGAGCCATCTTGCATCCCAACAGTTATAAGAATGTTACAAGCAGGTTGCAACCGTTAAGTTTACCCCTCGATTGTTCTCAGCTTTGAACTGCCAGGCTGAAGTGAAACTATCTAGCAAGGCCTACAAAATGAACCCATTCTGTGCCTGAGTAGCTGTTTGGTCTTACAAGGACTCTAGAACCCATTTGCCAAGTGGAAAAGGCCATGTTCACTAGAGTCAGTACCCCACTTGTCCTCTGCTCTAAGATATTATGTCCCCTCCGAAGGTAGAGCTGTGCTGTCCCTGCTCAACAAATCTTGGCCAAGACCATTGACACTGCATAGGGCAGTCTTACAATGCTGGGGGGAGAGAGCTGCGCCCCCCTTCCTGCAGACCCAGGGCGGCTTTCTCCCTACCACACAATCTCAGAAAGCCAAATTAAATGGAGAGAGGCTTTTTTTCTTATACAGGCAGGTTCAGGGATTAAAACGGAAATCTAATAATCTCATTGCAGGGATAATTCCTCTGCCTTCATCTCCCAGCCATGGCTGGGAATGCATCCAAGCCACCCGGCAGGCACAAAGGGGAGAGGATGGGGCAGCTTTGCTCAGTGGTCTATGGGCACCGCGTCACCAGCCTACCAGCCTGGCCTACCCCATAGGCAACAGGCTTTGCCCACCAGCTTCACCCAAATGCCACATCAAGCTGGTTCACTGGGCAGTATTAGACACCTTTACTCAAAACCAGAGCATGGAAGTAACACATTACAAAGAGTTACTTGCAGTTGTGGCAGGCATCTCTTATGTCAGCATTTGAATCAGCTCTGGCTTTTCATCCAAACATTAGAACAGCTGTCCACGATGCCAAAACTGTTTTGCAGAGAGGACTCTCCACCTAAGAGTTTTCCTTTACAGTCTGGACTACAGCCTGGAATGGATTTACCACCATGGAAGTCACTAGCATGTACCACTTGGCCTGTATTTATTTACATTTTTGGGATAACAAGTGCAGAATGAAGCCACGTTTCAAAGGTACCATAACAAGTAAGAGTGAAGTTACTTCATTGGGGTAATGTGTAACATCTAGTCACTTTCCAAAGTTACCCTCAAGGACATTAGACAGAAATCTTTCTGGTTTTATGCCATTCTCTTATGAATCCTAACATACTAGTGGCCAAGATTATATGTCACAACTCCACTTCTGCACCCTTGTACTGAATCTGGATATTCTTCTTCGGACCAAAATGTCCAATGACTTCCATAGGGGAACTTACACACATGTAAGACACTCACAAGATTCCGGTCACTGTATCTAGATCTGGCTCATTTTTGACAGGTCAGTGCAAGATCTTTCTGAATGACAAAGTTGACCCATGCCTCCCTAGGGGATCACGCCAGCAAAATTTCCCTTTTGCAGCTAATAACTTGCCCCAGTGACCTGTGACTCCAGTTTGCCTTTAAGTGCTTCAAAGCCATGCCACTGACCTAGACTAGTCACAGCTTAAGCTGAGAGATCGCAGGGGATTAATGAGGATTGGCTGTAATCAGTGCAAATGAGCCCTAACAAGGCCTCACTCTGGTCTGCCAATTTGACGGGTGGGAGCTTTGCCCATTGCTTGGGGAGGAGACCAGGGGGTGAGTTTGAGATTTTAGCCAGAACTTTCAAAGAACTATCCAAGTGGTCATGTTGCAAATACATCCCTATATCCCAACTGCTGCAGCTATCATTAGAGTTATAGAACTGTCCCTGGCGATGCGAGCCTCCTGGAGGCAACTAATTGCTTGGCTATTGTGGGATGCTGGACTTAAATGTGGGGCAAGATTCTACATCACAGGCTACATTTTGTAACTTCAAAAACTTGTAACTGCGTTGCAAAGGTGCAGCAAGACTCTCCTAGTGAATTGCAAATATGTACATCCAGGCACCGGCAAATGGTCAGATGCACATTGGGCGCTTTTGGTACACATAGGGCTCTCCTGGTCAGTATCAGGCACTTGGGATGCACACTGGACACTTCTGATGGCTCATTTGACAATTGTGATGCACACTGGACATGTTTGATGCATGTCAAGTCCTCCTGTTTAGCTTTGGCACTTCCTAGGTAGTGTCCTGATGCACTTGGGAATACCTCCATGTGCACTGGTGCCCATTGTGCAACAGTAAGTGACGCATCACTCACTCCACTGGCTACCATTGCACAATGGTCACCTGCATGTATTAATGTCATGGCAGCTCCTAGGTGAATACAGACAGTGAGCAATTGCTCAGTTCTATTTCCTGCACACTTACATCCATTTACAAAGACATAAGTCCCATGATGAATTCCAGTCATATTTTATTTTATTTCATGGCATTTATTTATTAATGTTCAGCCCATCAGGGCCTTCATGGCAAGGCACAATGGGTAAAAACACTTTAAACACTTCAGGCCTCTCTTTCCAAATAACCCTAAAACCAAACAGTTTTTAAAAATAGGCAGTGCAGACACCCCCAATTTTAAGTTCCAAAGGCCAGTTGAAGTAGCCCAGTCTTCACTGCTTGCTGGAAACTCAGAAGGGTAGGAACCTGTCTGACCTCCCTCAGGTGGATGTTCCACAGCCTGAGCACTACTACAGGCAACTTGAAGGCAGAGACAAGTTATAATCCAGCAATGCTGTAGTTGGCAGGATCCTGCAGTGGACTACTGAAGGACTCGCAAGCTTGCTGCCAACTGATCACCAAAAATCTGTCTGCTTTTGCAATGACCAGGACGCAAGTGAGCAGCATTTGCAACTGCGCAGCGCCCCGTAGTGCCCAGTCTGTTCCTCGCAGTGCCTGCTTACATTCACTCAATGTAAGAGGCACATCAAGGACTCTTTCCGCTCTGTGTTTCCCACCCCACCCCCATGGAGCTTCATTTGGCCCTTTTTTGAATGTTCCAATTCCTGCCACTGAAGTGACTCAGCTTTTCACTGTTGCTTTTTAAAATGCCAAACGCTCTCCATGGGCTTAAAAAAACTATCTGAATAATGTATGATGCTGTCTAAAGCAAGGAACCAAAGATCAAACATGTCTTTGAAACCAGGATGGGACTGAAGAAATTTGCAAATGGCACAGGCTCAGTTTTTTCCAAGCCCAAACTCTGTCTTCCTTCCCCTCAGTCAAAACAAACGCTTACGTGGTTCTAGGCAGTTTGTCTTTGACAGAGACAAATGCATCATCTGGATTTCCGTGTTCCATCAACCTGAAAAGGACATTTTCATGAAAATTACATAAGCTCCAGTGGCAAAACTTGTTTCTTGGTATTAACTGATGACGCACCCCCTGAAATCTGAAATATAGGAGAAATTTTTGCAAAGGACAAATTTCTTATCAATCGCCTGTAGGATTCTCACACTTCTCCAGAGATGACAGGAGGAAACGGTGTGTATTTTGTTCTGCAGGAGAATGGAGGCATTAGTGAATTTTAAGAAAGCATTTTATTTCACAACATCCCAGTCCAGATGCCAGTATTCAAACTGAGCTATCTGGCTCTGAAGGAAACATTTGTTTTTGTTATTAGCCTTCAGGTCAATGCCGACCCATGGCAACCCTATCAAACGGTTTTCTTGGCAAGATTTTTACATCTTACAATTTATAGCTGTTTGGGAAAATCTGCTCAACAACAGCATACCACAACAGATAGCAACTCACAAAGTACACTAGATATATATTTAGCCAATTATTAAAAAGCAGTCATGCCATAATAGAAAATTACTCAGCAAAAAATGATTCCAGTTGAACCTTTCCCCTTATTCAGACTAAGGTCAGAGTGGTACGGAAATGCGTGATTTGCTTTCCCCTGAAACCCACAAGAACTTAGTAACTCTGCAGCTTCTAAAACTTT